CCTCGAATCTCTATGTTTCCCTGCGAATTCTCAAGAAGAAAAGTGATCGTTTCATAGCAGCAGATACATAAGTGCAAAATTATTGTTCTAATAATATTAATAATTAATGTAAACACAAACAAACGTTGAATCCGTGTTAACATTATGGTTATTACTGGCCATGGTGTTTTACCTCTTGCCTTCTGCTTTACTTCAAGTTAAAAGCGACAAGTCGATTAATATTTTTACAAGTAAATTTATTTATTTTGCAGGACTATATTATATCTTCTGCTTAAAACAGAATATACATTAACTCAGATCAAGTAACTAAGCAATGGTTAATGTACAGTTTTCCCTGTAAAAACGCAGCACGGGACTGGATCGAAAGGTTTGAGTAAAAAGTGCCTTCAAACTACTAAATACCTACCGTATCTGCAATGATACAGCTGTTATCTTGTTACTGATCTGGACAGGTGGTCCTAATTTTACAGAACAAGGTTAAATGACTAATGTATTTTTTATAAAATAACCGTGTACATTAGAAAGCTAAGATGTAGATAATGCACAACTCGATGTTGACTTAACTCACGAGGATTTTTGCTAAATATTATAAGAGTTTAAATTTCTGGTACCCGGTCTTTTATTAATATAATGGGTATGTCAAATAAATCTTAAAGAAATAGTCGGATTAAAAGTCTGCAACTAGTAATTCCTCCTGAATTCCGCTTTGATATTGCTTCGGAATTTTCAGAACCGATAGGCGAATCCTTGGTTGTCTTGTTTACAGTCAGTTTTGGCCTCATTAACATATGCTTATCATTATCTGATAACGCTCCAGTAATAAAGTAAAGTCCCTGATTATTGAGAGAGCATAACAATTTCAGTTATATCCTAAACGTTTTAGCCCAATATAGCGAATAGTTTCGGAAAAATTCTCTTTGGAAAAACTCGAAAATTTACAAAGAATGCATGAGCTCATTCACGTTTTTCTCACCCAGCAATTTTTCGCAGGTTTTGATTGCCTATATTTCCTTTGTTCATGTTTTCCAGGAACTGAAAATTTCACAAACTGCTCAAATTAACCAACTCTTTCACTTTTGAACCCTTTTTTGTATAGACGGCAACGTTTTCTAGAAGTTATCTTGTATGCTAATGCTAATGAGCAAAAACGTAAACGGTAAGGTCAGCGGCGATTCGCCTGTTGCCCTGAGAAAAAGCGGGCTATGAACCCGAACTTTCGAGGGAAGTTTTTCCTAGCCTTTTCTTTTAACAGTACCCTCAAGATGCTCTTTCACTAGACGCCGTTTGCTTGAAAAAGCATGGCCCTCTTAAGATTTAATTGTTTCGTAGCCGTCACATTAAGCCAAAGAAGTTATGAAACAAAATTCGTCGATCACTGCGTCTTAGGAAATAGCAAGGGGGGTACCTTAAGGAACCGATAGGGGCCATTTTTACGAGGAAAAATAGGACGCGTCTTACATAAGACACGTCCTAAATAAGACGCAAAACGAGCATATCTTACCTAGGACGAAAGCAGGACGTATTAATGGTTCAAGTCCTCGTCACGTCCTATTTCTGTTCCTACGGGCAACACTCTCATGAAAACGAGTCCAGCAACGGCAACCCAACATGGCGCGTGTTTCAAAGTTACGGCATCGTGTTGCGATTTGCCGTAGATGCCAAATTTTGCGGATCTTATTGATGAAGATGGCGGAGTCTTCGCTACTAAGCGTGAAAACCCCCATTTGCCGTAGAAGAGTTGAAAAGAATACTCTTTTGGAGCAATCCGAGAAAGACGGGAAGAAGGCGATAGACCGACTGGTACGCGCGAGACTTTAAAGATATTTCGGACGCTAAATTTGTTGCCAACTTTAGAACACTATGCGTTTGCGTCTTATATAAGACGCGAAGGTTTTCTCGTCTTAGCAAAGAAGCGTCTTATTTAAGAACAAGTGTTAAGGGTTATTCTCAGATAAGCGCGTCTAGGCTACGCCTCGCTTATTTCAGACGAAATGTGCCGTTTATACGGGAATTTTACGGCTTGTTTAGGACGCGTCTTATTTTTCTCGTATAATGGCCGTATTACGTTGATTCTAATCTAGAATTAAATTTTTCATCATAATTGGTAAACCGTAACTTTTTTAAATTACTTACTTCTGCCGTAACCAAACCGAAGGGAGATTTAAATAGACTGTACGGGTGGATTTCCACTGTCGCGAAATTTTTAGGTGCGTAAATAAAATAGAGGCAACTTTTACGCTGGACTTTCCATACATTGCCTCTAATATATTTACGCGCTTAAAATTTACGTGTGTACACATGGAAAAATTTTGCGAAAGTGGAAATCCACCTCAAATTCGAATTCTCGGAAATGAAGTTCAATTAGCTTGCAGTCAGGGTTAACTCGTAGAATATCATTAAAAAATAGTTGCAAGCCTTGTAGAAGAATTCTTCTAAACGAATTCCTTGACTTCAAGCTGGTTCCAGTTAATCGACAAAAAGGATAAGATTTGGTCTATTAATCGACAGACGTAAAATGTCGTCGTGTATGTTTGATAAAGAGAATGTGGCTCATATTGAAGTCTAATTTAATAGAAAACGTGGACAAAACCATTTTCATAGGTTTTATACCACCTTCTTCTTCAGTGTAAAGATAAACTTTGCAGTAATTAAAACCTAACATGCAGATTTAGCCACGCCTGAGAGCTAAGCTTTTTCAACCATTACATGCAAGTACTTTACAAATCTATGGAACTTAACTTAAACTTACTATTGCTAATATCGCGTTAAATGATAGCAAATTTTGATATGATGGATGACTTTGTCTTAATACAGTAACAGGTAATAAACTTTGTTAACAAAATATTACTACAGTTTATTTTTAAATTTCTGCTGTGCATGTGTATCCTTGCACCGCACGCAAATTCAGATGCTTTACACTAAGTAATTTTCAAAGAGTTTAGTTCTAAACGTGGAGTAAAAATTTTAGGTTTTGAATAATGGGTTTTGGGGGTTGTTTTTACCCAGTATTTTTAAAATACCTCTTATTACCAATGGAGTTCTTTGTATCTTTCCTTTGGAGTAAATAAAGCCGACCCCATCTTAAAGGAATAATCAATTAACTCTACCTCAAAGGTTACTTTAACTCTTCAAAAAACATTGTTTTCAACTACCTTAATTCTTAACGTGGGAATTGAACTTAATTTTACAGATTAATGTCTCTTATTATTCATTCAAAATATTTGCCCAACTCTGATTGGCTAAAAGCACACGCATAATTCACCATAACCAGTTACTGATGACCAAATTTGGAAGAATTTTGTGTTTAACGAGGAAATGACGACAAAAATGCAGCCTTCTATAGGTTAATGCACCGTGAAGACCTGGGGACGAGGTTGAGTTGTTTTGGTTGTGAAATTTGTGAAAACAAAAATGGCGGACACTTCACTCGTTTCAAGAGTAAGAACTACAGGTGGAACTAGGAGAAATAATGGCTAAAAACATAGCAAAAACAGCAAGAAGACAACTCGGAGGGCGACATCTGCTATTTGGAGAATATTTGCGGAGCTGGACAAACCTAAACGTACACTATCGAAGATGAACTTAACATCGATGCGGGTAAGCATGTTTTAGCTATGTTTTTAAACTAGGAATTATTTTGAATTAATAATAAAGAAATTAATGAATTCGGCTTTTGTAGGATATGAAGAATTAAGTAGATCTCGGAGGGTGTTATCAGCCTCGAGATCTGCTTAATTCTTCATATCCTACAAAAGCCGAATTCATTAATTGCTAATTAGTAGAATAAGCAAAGATTGTTATTGCCCAGAAAAGATACAAAAGGAAATCTTAGTTCTTTGTGGAAGGACAGACTGGCAGAGAAACACATCTGTTTGTACGGCATGTGGTAGTTTGAGGTTAACGACGCTTATTTGCAATTGAAATCATTGCGACGAGGCGTTTTTTGTCACTGATTGAATTACAGTGCGCAAAACGTCAGGGGATTGTTATGATTTAAAACACTTCTCTTCATAACGAACTGAAACATCTATATATTTTACGCGCTTACAGTGTTTGCCATCGCTGATGAATGTCGAGCAATTCAAACGAAATATTCGATTTTGTTTTAATTTGTATAGGTGGTTTTCACGTTACGTCATCGCCGCCATGCTGGTGGACGGTAAACAAAAGATCGCTCATTAGCTCGCTTTGTTTGTCCACCAGCATTTGTTCATTTCACCATTGTTATTTGTGTCTCCCGAGATTGCATGAAAACCACCTATACTAAATAGCTTCTTCGAGTGATTATTCTTCAGACTCTTCACTGTTGCAAAAGTCGTTATAGAAATGCCTCTAAGATAAATGTCTCTTAATTAAAGCATAGTCAAATAAAGTGGAATGGTTGGGAAACCCTTTGTTATAGGTTTTTGTTACCTTTTTGGACCAGATCGTTCACAACGTTCAATACAGCGTTTCCACTCACGTGGCCAGCATCTATGCAAATTTATTGGAACAAAAGAAAGTTTTTACATAAGAAAAGAGTTCAACTCCCACAGGATTAGTTTGGAACACCAACATGGCCGCCCTTTCATTGTCTTGGAACACCAATATGGCCGCCGTGACGTCATGTGAAAACGCTCTATAGCATTCCTATCATTTTCAACTAACTGACCAATAGAAACATTGCGTTAATTTATTCAGTCACAATTTGTGAACAAAAAACAAAGGATTGTGCACGGTCAGGGAGCTTTAAACATAACCTACAACATCATTGTTTTCAACTTTGATGTTTGCCGCTAACCAGTCTTCTCTACTAACTATGCTTAAAGTAAAATAAAAGTTGAAATTCGTTTATTATACAACTGATTGTGCTTGTCATTTGATTTACACAAAAATAGCATGATCCATCAATTCAAAGTTGAAGGACACTAACGAAAAACATCCGCATAAGTTTTAATGATAGTAAGTGCTGTAAATAATAGCTTTAGTTAAAAATTCTTTCTCGAAAGGGGGTGTAACGGTTATGCAATACCAAAGCATTTCAGTTTACCTAGTGTGTAGTAGCTTTCTTCACCTCCATGACCAGTATCACCAAACCTGAGCTGTTTTACAGGAAGCTTTGACTTGTCAGTGAGGAGACCGCTGTCCTCGCGCCATACAAGGTCATTCTTGTCACAGTTACAAACAGTACTGGGGTCTGCACAAGAGTTGTTCATCCCGCATGCGCACTTACCACTGCCAGGTGATGCTCCACCCCAATACGTCATTTTTTCAGAATCGCGTGACACCCACCATGAGTCTGCTTGATGAGGAAACCAGAAAATCGAGCCATGACACTCATACTTGATAAACTGCTCACATTGCAAGGAGACCCTGGTTAGATTCGCCAGCTGAGACAGATTCGCTCCAGTGTAATGAATGTCACGTGAGTAGCTACCTGGCCTTTCATATCCTTTAACATGTGTCCTGCTCTCACTGTCGTGACTAATAACTGTCGCGCCAACTCCACTTTTATTAGTCATGTCACAGAAAACCGAGAATGGTGCCAGACCTCCTTCGCCATCTGGGTCAATGACGTAATTTCCACTTACACTGCTAACGTATTTCTTTATCACAGAACAGGAAGTAGCAATCTGAGAATTTATTTTAACTTTAGCTTCTATTGTGGTCAGGGCATTGCTCGCTTTACAGACGTAAGATCCTTCGTGAGTTTTCTTGATGGTCTGAAGAACCAGTGTTCCATTCAAAAGAACATTGGAGTTCAACGAAAGCGAAGACTTCCCTTCCTTTCTCCAGTATGTTGTAGGACTCAGGTCACTTTCGGCCGAACATGACAAACGGAGAGTTGAACCAATGAAAGGAGTCACTTCCTGTGGAGGACGGACTGTGAACCGCAAAGGAGAAAAAACCATGAGCTGGGCAGTGTCTGTTGCTGACCCTAGAATATTCTCTGCTTTACAAATGTATATACCACCTTCTTTTCTAGTAACATTGTTGATTTTCAGGGTTCCACCCTGCGCTTTAATTCCGTCTTTAGCTAGACTGCCGACTAACTTGGACCACGTGATCAGAGGCGAAGGCCGACCAGTAGCATTGCAGGCGATACTGACGTTTTGTGTCTCTTCAGCCATCAGTCGCTTAGAGGATAATGAGACATGCGGACCAACTAATGGGAAACAGAGAAACGTATGATTTTTGCAAGTAAAACGGGCATTTTGTGGCTTTTATTTAGAGAAGTTAATGTAAAACAAATTATTAATCCAAGAACATTGAATTATTTCGTTTGCTGGCCCCGCTTGTTTAAAAGTTGGAGAGTGCTACCCATGGAGTAAGTCGCTATTTAGTAGATAAGTACAAGCGAAACTCGGTATTTCATTATCAGTGGACAGAGACTTATCTAACAGCGAAAGTGACATATGCCTTTGAACGACTGAACATTTTATGTACACAGACCGCTAACATGATCCAAAGCATGAGATACTGCTATTGCTGCAATAAAAACCCGATTTTCTTTAAAGTATTTAGCCCCAGTGTAGATGCTAAACAGCGCCAATAATGCTGCCAATCATTGAATTTAATCCTGTTATGTTTGAATAACCTAATATGTGTAGGAAAATGCACGAAGTACGTTAAAGGTTTTCAGCTTTTTTAGGAAAGAAACAATTGAACTTACATTGTACAGTGACATTCAAGGAAGCGTTAACGCTCCCGAGAAAATTTTCGACTCTGCAGTTGTAGACTCCCTCGTCCCCAGGCTTAACGTCTTTCAACATCAGAGCACCACTGGATTCTACCACGTGACGTCCCACAGGAAGTCGCGCATCCAT